TTAAACCGGACACCAAAAAAAAAAAAAAAAAAAAAACTTTTGGTGCAGTGGTTTGTCAGTTGTTCTGGAACTTTTAATTAATTAAATAATTTATTTTATTGTATCTTGAAAAGAGGATTTGTAGTCAATGGTACTTCATTCTTTGATTCTGAAAATGTACTGTGTTGAAATTTGACAAAAATATCTTATTCTTTCTGAAATCTTAAATTTTATCAACACATAAAAAGCCGTAAAACTTTATTAAGTTTGTAGATGTAAGTGTTGGCGAGCTCTGTGTATAATTTCTTACGTGCGCTTATAAATTTAATAACAGAAACTCAAGGGCAAGCGTCAGGATGAATAAGCAAAAACTAAACTTGTAAAATTTACAGCATTTAACGCTTGCATCCAATCTCTTAATAAGAAGACATGTACAAAATGTTGATATTAATAAGAAGAGATTGAGTGTTTATATATATATATATATATATAGTAAATAATGTTTTAGGTTTTTTTATACATTTATAAAGAACCTAAAACATTATTTACTAGGCAACATTTTGTTTTCAAGGTTTATGTATGAACACTAGAATTACCACTATATTACTGCTTGTATGAAAACTATTGGTGATTTTGACTGGCCTGTAGTTGGATTCACTATCTTCAAAGAAACTAGAATCAAGCATCCACTCTTACTCTTTTTAAGCATGTAACCGATGGCTTTCCAAGTGTCATTGCCACGCGTTTTGTTTTATTTTTTCAGCAGTTTTATGTTTTTGTTCTGTGCTGCTGCTGTCCAGCTTTTGCACACAGTTTGAGTTAATTATGATGGTTAAACGTTTGGAACATTTATTGGCAAATTTCAAGGGAAACTGAGTAACCTTAAATACACGGGCTCAACAGAAATCAGAACGTCCTGTATTTCGTCAGTGAAATTAACCCTGGTACTGTACATCCTTTAGTTGTTTATTCACACAGAGATCTACCATAGAGTGGTTGATCAGTGGGGGCAGCCTGTTAACAGCATATCTGCTGTTAACACAAGTATTTCCCAAATATGGGATTAATATAGTTCAAATTTTGTTTTGTTTCTTTATTTGTTTACCAAGAACCTTCAACATCCTGAATTAAACAGTTCAAATTTCACTTCTCAAAACAAATGAATGACCTTGGACTATGCATTCTTTTTGAGAACAACTATTGGTCATACAATGTTAACTAAATGAAAAGAAGGGTTTAATGCAAAAAATTAAACATGGCCAGAAGGGGGATTGATTACTCTGTTCACAGAATTATCAAGGTTTTCTCACGCCACGGAAAAAATCATGATGACTGTCACTATATTAAGATATTATAACATTAGTGTTTCCGTCCTGTGATCTGTATAATCTATTTTTCCAAAAATATTCACACTTGCCTTTGGATATTGGAAAAAATATGTAATGCTGTTAATGTATGTTGTTCACCCACAGTTGAGACTTACAATGACATGGCCTTTAGTGACATCTTCCTCCACCTACTGACTGGTCACCTTACCCTGCTGTCTGATGAATTTCGTTTAGAGGAGTTCTGCTCTGTTGTTTTCGATGGCTTCCTTCTTACCTCTTTTTCAAGGTGGGTACATTGGCACAGTGTTTTATATGTTGATCATGTGTTGCAATATTTAAGTTTTGCAAATTAAGGGTAGTCTGTGATTCTGGACCATCCCCACAACTTTATTTCAACTTCATGTCACATGACGAGAACAAAGTTTAAAAAGCCTGGCAAACACCAAGCAAAACTATCATTTTAGACTGTTGCTTCACAAGGATATTGCCCGTGCTAAATCCAACGATCATCGGAAATCATGCGAGTATAATAAAAGAATGCATATAGTTGTAGTAAGCTGTAGGTAATATTAAAAACTCAAAATAAATCAATTATATCAATATAATGATTTTCTAAATGTAAAATTAAAATATTTCCAAATCTTTACTTTTTTGTTGAAGAAAGTTTATGTAGGCAAAGCTTTTCAATATTTTATATTAATTTTCAGTATTATAATATTGATTCAATATCAATATTATCCAACCCCTTTCATCAGTTCTGTGCACCATTTGCATTACAACAGTTTTGTGTGTTGTTTTTTTATTGCTTGATAATCAGACTCAGGAATACTTTCCCAAGAGAAAATATTCCTGTCGATAATTGTGACATTGTGTAAACATAAAATTTAAACAGAAATACAACAAATTGCAAATCACTTTAAAACAAAAGACAGGAAAGTAAAAAAAAAAAGGAAAGAAAATTGAACTACTTGTCATTGTGACACAGCACACCACTGCACACAATGAAATGTGACTTCTGTTTTTAACCCATCACCAAAGTGAACAGTGTGCAGCTTTAAGCGCCTGGGGAGCAGTGTGGACACGCAGTGGACACGAACCTTTGTATTAAGTATTGTTGTTTTGAAGCAATCCACAGTTGGATATGTAAATTGGAAATCGTTGAGTATGATTGGTATTACCATCTTGGCTCAGAAACACTTCAATGTCAATGCTCTAAGTGTACCAAGGTCAGTTAACACAGAGTACTACATACTTACTTACTTACATACTTACTACATGTGCAATTTAGAACTGTGGTCTCTGTTAGCTCATTCAAAGTGAATGTACCTAAAATAAAGGTGTGGTGAGGTTGATCATTGTCTTCCTAAAAAATAAATGGTAATGCAACCATTCATTACTTCTGTATTGATGTACATAGTAGCACAGAATACCATACAGACATCTCCTAACCTGAAGCCCAAGGTTAAGGAGCAGCGTGCTCAGTGCTGGGAGAATGGATAGCAGACTGGAAATGGTGCTGCACGACCACTGTTCCCCCTGTAGGTTGCTTGAGGCAAGGTCTGTAAAACCTAAAAAAAATGTTAATGATTGTCCTGGACTAGAAATCATCCCAGGCCATGTTCTCTAAACATGTGCCCAAGAAATTGCTGAGGTTTTTACAGACATTTGCAACCTTTCCTGTGTGCTGATCCCATATGTTTCAAGAAAGCAACTTTAAACCCAGTAAAAAACAAACCAAAAGCTGTTTAAATTTAAAAAAAAGCATTGCATTACACTCATGCTCGTTAATTTGAAGTACTTTGTAAAGCACGCACAACCTTTTCCAAACTTTTTATTTTACCTACAGATCAAACAGATCCACAGATGATACAGTGTTTTTATCGCTCCAACTTCACAGCAGCCCAACACTAAGTATTTATGTGAGAATTACAATTTCAAAAGCCTCAAAAATCAAGTTGGCAGCACAAAACTATATAAAAATACCATATAAAAACATTATACAATCCTAGTATAAAAATAATGTACAATTCCAATTTTCTTAACAAATAGCTGTATGTGTGAATGTCGTGGCATTCAAACACTGAGAAAAGAGAAGTATTTCTCAATGAAGAATATTGTATGTGTTAAGTGTTATATAGGTGTTAAGGTATTTCTTGGAGCTTATTCCTATTTATGGCTACTGTACTGTGTGCTACGCCCTGCAGTGATAAAAAAGTACATTTCAATTTTCAGTTTTCATTCTCCACTTCAACATGAACTTTAAAGTTTATTTAGAGGACCAGCACCCACCTTTCTTTTTTTGTTTTGCCCCATGCCAAAAATCTCTTCAGTCAATGCAGTGTTGTTTAATTAAGGGAAATGTCTAGTCCACCTTTTTAAGCGCTAACAGTCACTTATCTTTTGTTTCTTCTGTTTTTCTGCATCCAGTAAAGAAAATGTACACAGACACACACTTCGTATATTGCTGCACTTGCAACCAAAAGTGGTGCCAAAGTACATGGAAAGCTTAATCAGAACACTGGAACCTCCAAAGCAGGTTGGTTTTATTTCTACTTATAAAGTTTATAAGATATAATATACAACGGTTTGATCAAATTAAGAACTACCCCACTCTTTATCAAGTACTGGTAAAGTCTCTGTCCAGGAATACAGTGTTCCCTCTCTATAACACGGTTCTCCTTTCGCTCCCTCAGTACATCGCAGATTTTTTTATTCCAATCTCGCGAGAGTTTCTATATATATATATATATATAACTGGTATATTTATTTAAAATATTACTTTTTTTAAATTTCAAATATATTCATTATTTTCGTGACATTTTCTAACCTAAAAAAGTTAAACAGTAAAAATATAACAAAAAATAAACTAAAAGATATCGCTGGTAGCTTTATTTACCTAGAGGAGAGCGGATTTTCCCTATTCGCAGTGGGTCTTGGAATGCAACTACCACCAAAGGAGCACGATCACCACATGTATAACTCCATTTATGCATTTGTTTATACAGTAATGATCAATTCAACCTAGTACAGTCCAGTCGCACTGTGTTTACGACAGCTTTGTCTTTTAACTAAGAGAGACCTGGACTAAAAATTTAAATTCTTGAAATGCTTATTTGCAGAATTGACAGGTGCTGAGCATACAGCAACAATATCAATAATGAACTTGAATAAATAAAAATTGCTTCCATTCACCACACAAGGCTCATCTGTCTTAACTGCACATACAATTGATAAAAGTAATTGAATGACTCAGTTGAGAAGCATTTGAGTACCATCATAGTTGTATTCTTGCGGAAGTTGGACCTTTCTCTGCTTTGCAGATGTGGGAAAAGTACTAAAAATATAATTAAGTAAAAGTACTGTATCCTTACTATGCCTAAATTCTACTCAAGTACAAGTACCCATCTAAAAAAATTGCTTTGCATGATAAAGTTATCTCATTTTCATTTGAAAACAAAGAGCTGACTGAGATGTGGCCAAGGATTTCGGTTTCTCCACAGGAACTCTCTGCTTGGCCCCATTTCCATTGACTGAGATGTGGCCAAGGATTTAATTTTCTCCACAGGAACTCTCTGCTTGGCCCCCGCAATTGTCCTTCAATTAACACTTGTTTTTCCCTTGCATTTAATGTTTTACTAAGTAATGGGTTCTTTTCAATTGTAGCAAAGCAAAACGCTTGAGTCGAAATGTACTTAAGTAAGTAAAATAACCCTTTTCCGAAAGTACTTGATAAAAATTACAAATTACTCACTAAACTACTCAATTACAGTAACATGAGAACATGTATTTTGTTACTTTACACCTCTGCATACCATGGTTCGCCTTGATGCACTTTGAATACATATGGTGTACCAAAGGTTTGCTCAGTAACTGATGTATGGTATACCAAAGGTTTGCTCAGTAACTGATGTTTATTTTATTTTGTCCACAGTGCAGCGAACCCATAAAGAACCTTTACACTCAGCTTACAGAAAGATTTGAGGCCCAGAAGACGAGTCCTTCACCTCCAGATGAAACTCCAGCTATGGAACTAGGAATCCATTCAGTCAATGTACCCCCTACACCAGCCACACAATTTTGAGACTTATAATGAGAAATTATAAGTCTCAAAAAGAAAATACAGTTGTTTTTTTTTTTTGAAGGAGTAGTTATGTTATGTGTTGTGTTAGTGTGTTTATAAGGACATGGGGTCAGTTTGTTTGACATTTTGCTATCAACTGCCAAAAGATTTTTTCACAGGCCCTTCACTATTTCTCATGTTGGTACCTAAAAAAAGTGTGATTAAAATATTTCACAAACCAAGTGTTCAGTTCAGTCATTTTTCAAAACATTCATTCCCCCACATTAACTCACCAGGTCAAGTCCGTTTTATTTTTATCTCAAACAGTTGTCTAAATTAACTTACTTTTATTGTAAGAAAATGATCATTAAAAAAATGTCACAGAAGGAAAATAATGAAGGAATTTACATATGCCTACTACTCTTATTAATTACTCTTATTAGAGCTACAATACATGTGTCTGGTCACACATGAAGATTTTAAAGTCTACCCTAGATTATGCAGGAAGTCAGAGTAGAGAGGCTAGGACTGGAGTGATATGGTGTCTCTTTTTTGTTCCTGTTAAATTTGTGCTGAATGATTTTTTATATGAGCTGAAGCCTTTTAACAGACTTATTAGGACAACCTGACAGCAGATAGGTACAGTCCCATATAGAGTGTAGGTCCATTACTGAAGATATGTTTTCAATTAATCCTAAACAGCCATAATCCTATAAAACACCACATTCCACCACATTCCACCACACACCATCCCTTACCCCAGCCCTTTCTCCCTGAAGGTAAGTATAAGGATGACCCCCAACAATTCCCCTGCCACAGCCAGCAGCTGCATCCCTTGGTCATGCCAAAGAAAAATCATTCTTGAGGTAAGTTGGTACCACCAGTGACAGGAAGGTGTTCAGAGCACGCTTGCACAAAGGCACTGGTGGAGATGCGTCAGGCAGCAATGCCCAGCAGGCAGACCATCAGCCTGTATCTTCATATAGGATATTTTTAAGTGTTCAAAGGCTGATATTGAGATAAGGAGTAAGTGTATAAGGCTGTTCAAAGGCTGATATTGAGATAAGGAAAATGTTGAGGAAAAGGTTGCTTCTGCTGGAAAAGAGAGAGCATGCACACGCACACATACTCTCACACACAAAGGCCCATAGACCCGAAGGACCACACGAGATAAAGGTAGGTAATCTCTTCTTCATCTCTATTGTTACCAGCTATAATGGAGTGGGACAGACCAAATATGAACGTTGTGCACTCTATCATGACCACCATGTACAAAAATATAGACAATGGAGGTGATTCAACTTGTTGCACTTTCCCTTGGAAATTGAGGGATTTTAATTTATTCTTTTCTCTCTTCTCTCCTTTAAATCTTTCCCTTTTCTTTTTTTACCCCAGATGCATAATAACTGATCATTTTGCATTATACTCATTTTTTCATTCTCATTTCACTCCAGCACAGTGAAGTTTTTGTTGTAAATATAGCATTTACATTTTTGATTTAGCAATAATAGTCCATATGTCCAATAGTCCAATAATAGTCCTGTTCTCCCTCTACACCTCGGACTTTACACACAACTCCAGCAGCTGTCACCTCCAGAAATTCTCCGACGACTCAGTCATTGTTGGCTGCGTGTCTGACGGGAATGAACTGGAGTACAGGTCGGTCATCAGGGACTTCGTGGACTGGTGTGAGGGCAACTCCTTGTGCCTAAACACCAGTAAGACGCGGGAAATGGTGATCGACTTCAGGAAAAAGTCTCCACAACCGTCACCGGTGTGCATCCAGGGCTTGGACATTGAGCTGGTGGACAGCTTTAAGTACCTGGGTGTGCACCTCAACAATAAACTGGACTGGTCCACACACACCAACGCCCTCTACAGGAAGGGCCAAAGTCGCCTCCACCTCCTGAGGAGACTGGGGTCCTTCGGAGTGTCCAGACCCCTCCTCCGGACTTTTTATGACTCTGTGGTGGCCTCTGCCATCCTCTTTGCCGTCGTCTGCTGGGGAACAGGCCTTTGTATCTGCTGTGTGTATTTAAAGTACACCTTGCATAAGTGCTGTGTGAAGTCATTCTTCAGTGTGTAATCAGCCTGGAGAACAGCGTTTTGGGTTTTGTTGCTGTGATCTGTTTGTTAATTTAGGATTTGGACTATGCTTAGAATGTCTAGTGACTTTTTTTTGAGTAGTTTTCTCTTGTCATTAGAGGACAGGACAGGGCAAGTGCTGTGTCATAATTTTCTTTTGTTAAACAACTGGATTTTGTCTAGAATTATTTTTATCACAGTGGTTTTTAACCTTGTTGGAGGTACTGAACCTTACCAGTTTCATATGCGCATTCACCGAACCCTTTGGTGATGGCCAAGCCACTGTATGAACTCATACAGTGTTTTTTACAGATATACATGATACCAGTGGTGAGTAGTAACGAGTTACATTTACTCCGTTACATTTACTTGAGTACGTTTTTCAAAATAAAATACTTCTAGGAATAGTTTTAAATCACTATACATTTTACTTTTACTTGAGTAGATTTATGAAGGTACCGAGCTCACCCGCACACTCGCTCATGCGCGGCTGACCCGTAGCTGATCTGTTACATGCAGATATATGTAAAAAATATAAATGACACACATTTATGTTTCATTGGTTTATATAAATCACTGATTACTTCCCTAGATCTCCTGTAAACTTCCTGAATTAGAGACATGCCTCAATGTGTTTTTGTAACACATTTCGACACGTTCCCCTTTCTTGTGCTAAATGCGGAACTAGTATGATTACTTTTTGCCTGCTATGATTTGATTCATGACCTCTGGATACTGAGCTCAACCCTTCTAAACAAACAGTACTCTTACTCCACTACATTGGGCTATACTGAGCTCGTTATTTGTTACAGAGAAACTGGATAAAGCTTTAGCTATCCAGTATCCAGTTCTCAATACATGGTTTTCCAATAATCGATATTACCCATGATGTGGTGTGGCAAAAGACGTGAACAGGTAGACGTAAACAATCAATAATGTCAAAAAAAGACAAGAATATTAAATCGCCGGTGGGAGATCAGACGAAATTGTTGTGTAGAGATTCACTCGACACAATTACAAAGGCAGGATACAATGGAAAAGACAAAGTCGGGAAAGCTGAGTGGAAGCGGGTGGACATCGAAAGTTGGCCAGACAATGTATATCATGCAGTATTTATTAACACCCAAATAATACAATGTGTTAATGTAAAAATCACAGTGGCATGTATGGATGTTTGTCTCTCTGTACAACATTAGAATAACAGTTTACATGAATAATCATGTTTTACTATTGATTAGATTATATTTTTTTCCAAAGTCACATAAAATCTGTATTTCTTACTTTCTTCATTAATAAATAGTTTGATTGTACATTTACATAGATAAAATACTGATAATGATATGGACTGTGGTCAGCTAAGGATTTACATTTGCATTGTGTACATTTGTCATGTATGCAAAGTGCATTTTGATATACAGTATTTTAATTTTATCAGTGGTGGGCTGTCAGGGCCAGCAAGGCCTTCTCTGCTGGCCTAACATAAATCATGATCATAAGTTGATAAAAGTTCATTTAACTTTTAATTTACTTTTCCTAAATACATAAAAGCATACTTCATATTCTCTTCATGTCATATATTAGGCTTCTTCCAGTGTTGTTGTTTTTAGGTTAGAGTTTTTATTCCAATCAGAATTCAGCTAGCTGCTGCCAGGCTGTATGAAATCTGCCTCGAGGCCTTCAGAATAAACAACGTGGGCGTCTGTGCAATGTAAACAAACAGGCACATACAGCTGATAGACAGTTGCGATAGCCAATCAGATCACGAGTTGTTGACATTAGGCCTTCTAGCTGGCCTCACGTTGAACGTAACATATATGAGTCCTGTGATTGGATACTCGCTTACCACCGTAAAACAACAAGAAGTTGAAGAATGCAGATCAACCGATTAGCAGACAGTAGTGATGTTCGATACCACCAATTTCCTTTCCGATCCGATACCGAGTAAAATTTGGGCTGGTAT